ATATGTATGTACATACATACATGTATATACGATAACGACAGATAGTTTTTACAAGGGCACATTCAGTATTATACCGAGCGATTAGTTTCTCTTGTTTATCTTTCTTTTTGTTTATCTTCTTATAAGTAAGAATGCATGACAAACCACAGATCTATCACAGTTACTTAACTATTACGTAAAAGAATTCCATTATGTAAAAAAATTCCAAATTCATTTGAATTAATTATGATACATACATTAGCATATGTATTCGTATAAACATTAATTGCTTCAAGAGTTTAGTTGCGATTTTGGTTAGATTTATATTCCGTGAGATTAAGAATATATACTTAATTGTTGTTTAGTATTTACTCAAACTTTTAATTAAAATTTATATTACGATTATAAAAGCGTTTTGGTCACAACTTGTTTACGTAAGAGCGTTACTATTCCGACTGTTATACTTAATGCTGAACGGTATATGTTATCGAATCTTATTCAAAGACGGACTTATATTCTTGAGAACCTATAGTAATATTTTTCTGAGAATCTTTTTTCAATGAAAATTTGATTGAAAAATATGAGAATAAGTATTTGAGTAAAAAATGCATTATATATAGGAGGCATTATCCTGTGTTTCACACAAAATAGATATAGTAAGGTATACGTTAATATAAAAACATATAGGCCCGTATTTAGAACGTGCTACAATGTTAATGCGCATTTAGCGTATACATATTGCATATTCACGTTACGTATACGTATTATTACACAATATATGCTATAGAATTTCAGATCCCGCTACATCGTTAAGCGCATGTTCTAAATATGGGCTATAATCAACGATTTTAATTATCAATCGTAAATATATATTGATTAAAATTTTTATTATTTAACTAAATTACTGACGTAAACATTTTCCAGAGTGAAAAGAAATGAAAAACAACAACTGAAACGTTTTGGTGCATCTACGAGTCGGAAGGTTCTATGTATAGGCATTACGTACAAGGCCCCGGAGCTTAATTCTTTATTAGCTTATTCGATAAATCCGCCACTGTCCACGCGTGATAAGATAATAAGAATTAAAATTTTCTTTTTTTCTTCGATATATGTATATATATATATATATGTATATACATGACTTTTATTTGCGTGCGTGTGGAACATATAACGATCATATAAAATTCTTTTTACGAATGAAACTCATTTCTATTCTTTTCTATTAAGATTGTCGAAGTGCGTCATACTTTGAACCATTAAATTTAATATATGTTTAGAGGCTTTGTAGGAAGTACATTTACTTATTAACGTAATATAATAATGTTATTACTAAGTCATTATACTATTATATAGGTTTGTGCGTGAGATGTAAACGTGTCAAAAGATGCATAGCTTTAGTTTATTTTATTACATAATAATAATTTGTATAAATTTTTTACTTGCGTAACGCAATCTACAAGAATTTCAAAATTTTGTAAAATTGATACAAACTTAATTTCAACTGTTATCTCTGTTTATCTATATGTATATCCAATAAGAAATTGCTAAAAATTTTATAAATCGGTAACTCTTGAGATATAAAATTAAAAACCGAATTTTTTTTCTCTAACGTTACCAATTGTAACTATATAATAGGAGTTTATTTTAATTTTAGTAGAGTTTAAAAATTATTCTTTTTAGATAAATAGAAGCAAACAGACTATTGCGATATATAAATTAAGTTATATAGCCTATATATTATTCGATTCTCATATAAAAGATTGTAAAGATTGAACCTCTGTGTGTGGTATGATGTGGGGTGTGTGTGTGTGTGTGTGTGTGTGTGTGTATGCGCGCGCGCGTGCGCGAATGTATAATAGAAAATTTTTTTGACTAAAGTAATAAAAATTTATGATTCTTCACAGAATATATATCAGTGATTCGTGAATCGCGTTCTTTGTTAACGTGTTTGATCAAAAACCCGTCAATTTTCAATAGTACACGCGGATGTATGTACACGTACGCGAACTGTATGCAAGATAATTATGAACGTAAAAGAACGAAAAGCAAGTAATTAACTCAACTCAACGGTAGCGTACTAGCGAAATATTTAACGCTCTTGCAGATTTCAAAATGCGAAAAAACAAGAGACGAAAAGAGAGGGGAGGGAAGCAGAGGGAAAAATTTTTGATGAAAACAAAAGTCTATCGACATTGAAGGGCACCTCTTTGTCCTAGTCCGCCTCAAGAGTGACCACAAACAAAAAGCGCGATCGAGCAATTTCGATCCGTTCGGCCGAGTACTTGCGTTCCACGTACGGTATGCATATGCGCGCGAGAGCACAGATTCCATTGAAGAGCATTTTACAAGTCCGTGGAGAGGCGTTTTGTTTGCGACACCGAGGCGGAGAGGAGGTCGGTCGTTTTCATGGTGGTTCGTTGATTCGAGAGAATTGCCCACAGGATCAAATGTGCTCGCGTGGGTCTCGCCTGATCGATGTTTCTGCTTCGCGTGGACGCGACGATATAGTCACGCGCTAAATACAAAATAGGTATGTATATACCTTCTATTCGATATAAATAACAGTGTTTAATAATCATGTGATTATCATTTAAATATAGTTATATTTTACCGAAATAATATTGCGAATAAATTAATGCTGCGATATATGCAAGGGTACATATACCATGGCCATTTTAAAAGAACATTAAAATAAATTAATTTAAATTAATTAAAATTAAAAAAAATATATATATATATGTTTATATAATAATGATAATTGATCATGAAGTATGAATAAGCAAAAATGGACATCTTGAACAACAGTTCTATAAAAAGTAATTTGTAGATGCGATTATTGCATATGTACATGTATATTAAGCATCTTAGACAGAGCATATATGCCTGAGTCCAAAATCGAGAAGTAAGATATATACGTCATTAATTATAAGACATAATTAAGGCATGTTTTAAACAAGCTATATCTCTTATTCTATCACGATTTTGGACAGGTTGTCTGTTGAATGTATGTTAAATATATAGTTATAATAAAATTATATGTGTATTTTTTGTATTGTTGTAATACTATTTTTATATGCAAGAATACCTAATTTGTAATTGCAATGTACTTCCTATATGACCGTTCGTGTATATATGTACATATATACTACATATGTGGCATTTTTAATTTGAACGAGGATATATAATTATATAAGAGAACGCGCGTAATGTACTTATACATATACATATAATATGTACATATATGTATATAAAATAATAATATTAAGTACATATAAATGTGTTGTGAAATAGATTTTCATTGTTAGTTTGGAAAATAGCACCAATTGTTACAGAATCAAATATAATTATAGCTGATATAATCGTAGCCAAGTTGCATCCAATTAGTAATTTGCATTGTTGGCAATCGTTAATTGCATTCTACGCATTCGATAACTTAATAATACGCGCAAGATACAAGAGAGGTCACTATATTCCACAATTAGAGTTTTGCGCGCGATTAAATATATGTTTATCTGTTCTTCCGCTATATATTCTTTTATTCGGGGGAGGAATTGTATAATAATATAATACTCGTCGCAAAATTTTCAGCAATAAAGGTGCAAATTCATGAGAAGCTCGTAATTCAGCGTTAGGGCCATGGCACACAGAAAAACTTAAGCAGCAAGACGTAAGCAGTAAAGAAATCAACATGTTGGATTTTTGCTAGTCACACGTAACTTCAATTCTTTGACGCGTCATAGCGTCCAAGAAAGAGAAGCTAGATTTTCTCAGCTTCCGCGTCAAAGGCTGTTGTTTTGTTCTAAACATTTTAGATACGAATGATACGATTAACGTTAAACTTGATGTTGCCGTTTTTCAAGCAAGCCAACTATGATCACGTAATTTTGACGCTAAAAATGAGCGTCGAGCGTCAGCATGAAAAGGCACCTTAAGATTTTAACTTATTGAAGCGTTGAAGCATCATACGTACGTACAATCGCGCATGATACTTTGTGTTTCATTATTTTTGCAATTATTTCCATCATATATCCGCGTTGATGTTATTGCATGATGCGTTATGAATAAACGCATTGCATTTTCCGCGCTTGCACATTAATTACAATTAAGTAAAATACTGCAATAATATCACGCGTAGGCATATATTGTGTGAATTAACTCGTGCGCCCAAGTATTGGAATAAATCGAGAGAGAGAGCTGAGCTATCCGAAAGGCAACATATGCTGGCCCCATGCGTTACTAACAAGTCGGCGTCGCGTGTCAAAGGATCGTCACATGCAAGGCGCGCGCGCACGCCACCCTCCCTTTTGCCGCACACGGTTCTCGCGCAATTAGTTGAGCTAAATGCCGCCACACTTTACGTAATCGCTCGCCTCGTGCTCATCCTTCCTTGCACGCAACTAAATAAGGAGGGAGAGAGAGAGAGAGAGAGAGAGAGAGAATAAAAAATGTAGCAAGAGTCCGCGGCTCACGACGCATCTGCCGTTGTGCGTTTCCGCCATCGCGCTCTGCTCTTTTTTATGAAAACGTACGACATATTTTAATATGTTGATTTAGATTTTAAAATTGCACTTTTTATCAAATAGATATCCGATAAATATTTTCTATATACAACTGAGCTCGTGTAGCGTTTTTATAGAAATCGGTTCTCAGAGGAGTCGACCTATATCGATCCCCTTATTCAGCAATTTCAAATAAGGCATGTATGTTTTGCGATAATAAATCATTTAAGTATTGTGTTTTCATTTTAATATCTGATCAAAGCGTAATTATGTGATACTTGTTGACATTCACTTTAAAGTTTAAAGCGTGTTTCTAAAACGATCTAAAATTATTTCTTTGCTTTGAAACACAACTGTTTTCTTTCGCAGAAAAATAGTCTTTTTTTGTATGAAGTAAGTAGGTTAAACACACAAAGTTTAAGAACTGAAAATATTATAGCAATAACATAGCAACATTAGCTCATATAGCGATATTCAAAGTAGATACAACTTTGATACAACATACATCTTTCAGATTTCAATGTACGATTTAATACTGTTTTATTTGCAATCTTACAATTTATACAAAGAGGACGCATTTTTATTGTAATTAAGCGCTGCAATTTCTCGATAAAAAGATAAGAAAGAAGAGAAAAATCGAAATATCACGTTTTGCATTGTTTTTTAATTGTTCTTCTCTTTTCTTTGGAACATACCTAGAAAAGATGATCTCGACTTTTTTCGACTTTCGTCTTATCGACTTATTATTCTGTTTGAAGTTCAGATACTACTTGAAAACGTGTTTCTAAGGCAGGCTTTTGAGTTACACTGCACATATCTGAAATTTCAAGTGCCGCGCTTATTGCCAAGCACGAAGCCAACCGCGGTCGCACCTATCTTCTTGATCTCTAAAGAATGAAAAATATTTAAATCCAATTGTGCAACGTCGCGATTCGAATCTAACCGACTGCATCAG